CCCCTGAGACCGCCAAGAGCCCCCCAAATCCTCCAGAGACACCCGAGAGCCCCTGAGACCCCCCTCAAATCCCCCAGAGACGCCCCAGAGCCCCCCAAATGCCCCCCAGAGGTGGCCCTGGGGTGACAGAGGGGGGTGACAGAGCTGTGTGATGGGGTGACAGAGCCGTGTCCCCTCAGGTGATGGGCCGGAAGGGCCCAGTGACAGAAGCCCAGGGCATGGAGGTGGCTCTGGGGTGACAGGGGGTGACAGGTGGGTGACAGAGCCATGTCCCCTCAGGTGATGGGCCGCAAAGGGCCAGTGACAGAGGCCCAGGGGGTGGAGGTGGCCCTGGGGTGACAGTGGTGACAGTGGTGGGTGACAGAGCCATGTCCCCTCAGGTGATGGGCTGCAAAGAGCCAGTGACAGAGGCCCAGGGCGTGAAGATGTCCCTGGGGTGACAGGGGTGACAGGGGAGGGTGACAGGACTTTGTCCCTTGAGGTGATGGGCCAGAAGGGCCCTGTGGCCAAGGCCCAGGGTGTGGAGGTGGCCCTGGAGTGACAGGAGGGTGACAGAGCCATGTCACCTCAGGTGATGGGCCGCAAAGGGCCGGTGACAGAGGCCCGGGGGGTGGAGGTGGCCCTGGGGTGACAGAGCCATGTCCCCTCAGGTGATGGGCCGCAAAGGGCCGGTGACAGAGGCCCAGGGGGTGGAGGTGGCCCTGGCCCCCGAGGAGCTGGAGCTGGACCCCACGGCCATGACGCAGAAGTACGAGGAGCACGTGAGGGAGCAGCAGGCGCAGGTGGAGAAGGAGGATTTCAGCGACATGGTGGCCGAACACGCCGCCAAGCAGAAGGTGAGTCAGGGATGGGGACACCGCTGGCACCCGGGGGGTGGCACCTTGTCACCAAGCAGAAGGTGAACCAGGGGTGGGGGCACCGCTGGCACCTGGGGGGTGGCACCTTGTCACCTCCCAAGGCCATGGGGGTCCCCCGAGGGTGGGAAGAAGCTCGAGGGGGTTTGTGTTTGTGGGGGGATGTCCCTGTGCCCGTGTGTGCCTGGGACCCCCCCCAGCCTCTCCCTGTGCCTGTGTCCCCCCTGTGACCCCCCTGTCCCCTGTGACCATGTCCCTGTGTCCCTTATGACCTTGTCCCTGTCCCCAAGTCCCACGTGACAGTGTCCCCGTCCCCATTCCTGTGTCCCCCATGACACTGTCCCTGTTGCTCCCTGTCCCCTCCTTGTCCCCATATCCCCTGTGACAGTGTCCCTGTCCCCATGTCCCTGTCCCTGTCCCCCTGTCCCTGTGCCCCCTGTGCCCCTTGTGACACTGTCCCTGTCCCCCCTGTGCCCTCTGTGACCCTGTCCCTGTCCCCCATCCCTGTCCCTGTCCCCCCTGTCCCTGTCCCCGTCCCTGTGCCCCCGTCCCTGTGCCCCCTGTGCCCCTGTCCCTGCCCCCCCGTGCCCCCTGTGACCCTGTCCCTGTGTCCCCTGTCCCCCCTGTGCCCCTGTCCCTGTGCCCCCTGTGACCGTGTCCCTGTCCCCCCCC